TGGGGGCGGGGACTGGCCCGGGGGCGGGGCCGACCCCCATCGCCCTGGGGGCCTCAGATCTGGGCCGGGCGGAGCCCCCTCTGGGGGGCCGTCACCGCTCCTCCTACTGTGGGGCCCGCAGCCCTGGGCGTGGATCTCACCCCGCTGCATCCGCGGGGCGCCCCCCCTCCAGCCCGGGTTCGGCCGCCCCCCGAAAGCGGGGCGGCCAGGTCAGCCCTGCCGCGGCGAGCGCCCCTTCCTGGCCGCGTGCTGGGCCTCGAGGGGGAGAGCCCAAGAGGGAGGTGGACTCGGCCGGAGACTCTGCAGACTCGGCTTCCATCAGGGCCAGAGCGGCTCACCCGCACCTTAGCGCCAATTCCTGCCGCTTTCTGCAGCTGAGTCCTTGCTCGTCCCCGCCCTTCGCTCCCGTCCTCCCCCCTTGCTCCCGTCCTCCCCCCTTGCTCCCGTCCTCCCCCTTGCTCCCGTCCTCCCCCTTGCTCCCATCCTCCCCCTTGCTCCAGTCCCCCCCCTTGCTCCCGTCCTCCCCCTCCGTCCTCCCCTTGCTCCCGTCCCCCCTTGCTCCCGTCCTCCCCCTTGCTCCCGTCCTCCCCCTTGCTCCCGTCCTCCCCCCTTGCTCCCGTCCTCCCCCCTTGCTCCCGTCCTCCCCTTGCTCCCGTCCTCCCCTTGCTCCCGTCTCCCGCCTTGCTCCCGTCCCCCCCCTTGCTCCCGTCCCCCCACTTGCTCCCGTCCCCCCCCTTGCTCCCGTCCTCCCCCTTGCTCCCATCCTCCCCCTTGCTCCCGTCCTCCCCCTTGCTCCCGTCCTCCCCCTTGCTCCCGTCCCCCCTTGCTCCCGTCCCCCCTTGCTCCCATCCTCCCCCTTGCTCCCGTCCTCCCCTTGCTCCCGTCCCCCCCTTGCTCCCGTCCTCCCCCTTGCTCCCGTCCTCCCCCCTTGCTCCCGTCCTCCCCCTTGCTCCCGTCCTCCCCCCTTGCTCCCGTCCTCCCCCCTTGCTCCCGTCCTCCCCCCCTTGCTCCCGACCCCCTTGCTCCTGTCCTCTGTGGCCAACAGCACCCTCTTCGGGCTCACACAGGCCAAGTCAGACATCCAGCTGACCAGGAACTCTGATGGCTAGTCCACAAAGCCCCTGCCCTGTCCCCTCCCCGCCCCGACTGTTGTCAGGAGCCTGGGAGGGAAGCCACTCCAGCTCTCAGTGGCTGGACGATGCTGCGTTCAGGAGTTGCATGTCAGAGTTGCATGTGTCTGGCAAAGGAGGAACAGCATACTGGGTCGGGTTGGGACTGATTTCCGGACGCAACCAGGTTCCTTGGGATGGCCCAGCTCAGCCCTGGGCCTGGCTCTCTGCTGCCACCTTGTGGACACACAGTTGCTCCTCCCACATGGGAGTGGGTGCTAGCAGGGGCCGGCCTGGCATGAAGTGGAGCATTTCTCCAGGACCCTTGGGTCTCCTCAAGGATCCAGTTCACTCTGGCAGTAGAGAAGGAATTAGAAAGAGAGAAAGAAGCCAGGTGCCAGTGGCTCACACCTGTCATCCTAGCTACTCAGGAGGCTGAGAGCTGAGGATTGTGGTTCAAAGCCAGCCCAGGCAGGAAAGTCTGTTTCTTATCTCTAAGAAACCACCAGAAAACCAGAAGTGGTGCTGTGGCTCAAGTGGTAGTGTGCTTGTCTTGGGCTGAAAAGCTGAGGGACAGCGCCCAGGCCCAGAGTTCACGCCCCACAACCGACAAGAAAGAAAGAAAGAGAAAGAAAGGAAGGAAGGAAGGAGAGAGAGGGAGAGAGAGAAAGAGACAGAGAGATCTTGAGAGAGAAGGAAAGAAAGAAAGAGAGAAAGAAAGGAAGGAGAGAGGGAGAGAGAGACAGACAGAGATCTCGAGAGAGAGAGAAAGAAGGAAAGAGAGAAAGAAAGGAAGGAAGGAAGGAAGAAAGGGAGGAATACTGGTGTTCCGTGGGGCCTGGCACTGTCTACAGGGTCAAGGCCTTCAGACCACACCTGGCCTGGCCTGGGGCAGAAGCCTCCTCCCAGATGGGCCTTGATAGCTTCACTTGGTCAGCATGGCCGTGGAAAGTGTCAGTCTGGGTTTCCCACTCCCCTCCTGAGTCCTCTCCATCCTGAGCCCCCCATGGTCATGCAGGCTGCTCCGCCCGCTGCCCAGAGCGGCGTATGGGTCTCAGTTCACAGCACTCACACTTGCACAATGCTCACATACAGCACGTGCCCACCTCCCACACTGACACTCCCTCATGCACACACAAGCTCCTACATCACACACGTTTCCACTCCATCACACCTAGCACGCACACAGCTTGCCTGGGGCGTCTGGCTGCCCAGTGGCCTGGCTGAGCTCGGGGCATGCCCGTGACCTATGGGAGCCTGTCTCCAAAGGATACAACCTGCAGTGGTATAAACAGAAGCTTGTGATTTTTCTATTCACATACTGTCTTCCATTTCAAAAACTTGCTCTGTGTGAAATGAAAAGCTCACGCCCAGGTGATGTGTGGTCAAGCGGGGACAGTGTGTCCGCTCCGGGGGAAGCCGGAGTCTCTTGGCGAGGCTTCCCCGAGCGTGACCGGCACCCAGGAGAACAGCTCCTCTGCTATGTGAACGGGCAGGCTTGGGTGCGCAGGCAGGAGCCCCGAGGGGAACAGGAAAAGCTGGAGTCTCAGGAAGTGGCTCAGGCTAAGGGTGAGGCATACCAAGGCTGCACCAGGGGCACACGCAGGCAGCCACGGTCCTCCGGGATAGACCTCCCCGGGGAGCAGGACCCCCAGAGAACCCAGGCCCTGTTTAGGCTCTGCCTCTGTTCAGTGCATGGCCCAGGCATGAACAGTGAAGGTCGTGGGTCAGGCTGTGATCAAGGTCAGGCCTCACAGTGTTGTCGGAATCAGGGTTCAGGGTATGTCCAGGGCTTGGGGCTTAGCATGTGACCAGGACTCAGCCTGACATCAGGATTAAGACACGGGGTGTGAGCGGGGTCACGGCTCAGTGTGTGACCAGAACCGAGACTCGGGGTGTGAGGGGGGTCATGGCCTGCGTGGGGATCGGGGTCAGAGTTAAGTCTGAGAGAATCTGGACTCTGTGTTGGAGTCCATGTGTGGCAGGGGTGAGGGCCATCAGGAAGTCGCAGTTGTGGTTTTCCACCCTTGAACTGTGGTCACTAGACGATCTCGGCCATCTTTAGACCTGACCTCCCACCTGGGCACTGCTGGCATTCGGGGCCAGAGGCTCTACAGAGGATGCCCTGTGCACTGCAGGTGTTGTGCGGACCCTGGGCCTGGGCTTACTGCACCCAGCACCATCAGCACCCCCAAGTGGGGACAGCCCAGCTGCACATCCCCCCCATGGCTGCGTTTGAGAGCCACGGCCTTAGACAGCTCACTTCATATCAAAGTGATCGGCAAACATTTCCCCACCTGCAAATATTTGGAGAATGAGTGTTCCAGGCTGGTGCTGGGCGCCTGGTGCCTCCAGTGTACAAGCAGATATGAACGGCTCCTGCCCAGCGGCGGCCCGCTCCTGTGGGCTGGTGGGAGGGTGGGCACCGGCAGGAAACACCTGCGCCCAGGCACCTCCATCACCTGAGTGCCACACCCACAGGCAGTCAAGCCTGCGGGCTGGAGGGGTTTTCAGAGAACATTCCAGCGGGCAGAAGGGCAGGAAGGCATTCTGGGGAGGCTACACACACTTAAGCAAGGCCCCGCCCCTCGGAAGCCAAGCTCCTCACCTAACTTCCACGACAAACCCATCAACCAACCAGGGGTGCCAGGGAGCCGGGCAGGGGAGACCCCCAGGGTCGAAGGCAGCGACGCTCACTCCTGGCGGAAGCCCCCGCCGGTGTGTGGGCTCTGCAGGGGGTGGGGCGTCCTGAGCCCCGGGTCATTCTGGCCTTCTGGTGCTGTCTCCCCTCGGGACCTCAGGGCACACCTGCAGCTGGCGTGGGCTGGCTCCACCAGGCTCTCCTTTGCAGCCCTGGAAAGCCAGGGCGCCTCTCAGGAGACAGCCAGTCAGGCGCCCTGACCAGAGTGGCAGGTAAGAAGGGGTTGTCGGCCAGAGGCACCTAGCTAGAGCCAGAGCTGCCCAGGGGTCACAGGGAGAGCCTGGCAAGGTTGAGACCAATGGAGACCACAAATCTCCCCGCCCCTCCCACACACATGCCAACAATGGCAGGAAGCCCTGAGATCCTCAGAGACAAACCGCAGCCTCAGTGACCAAGGCTGGCAGTGGAGGGCTGACCCACAGGGCTTGGGGACTCTGCTAGAGACAGGCAGCCAGGGACATCACACCCAACAGTCAAGGAGCCAGAGGGAAAGGTGGCCTGACCTCTGTCCCTCCATTCTGCCCAGGAAGGCCATATTGGTCTCTCAGGACCCAGGGTGGGTTACAGAGCAGGTCCAGTGTGCTGTGAGCTACATATTTCCCGACTCCCTTGCAGCTAAGGTTCCGAGGGTGGAGGGGGAGGGAGGTAAGGGGCTTAAATGAGATCTTGAGGGTAAAGCCCGGGACTCAGGGCCCAGCACACTCTGGGGGAAAGGCCCGGGACCCAGGGCCAGCACACTCTGGGGGCAAGGCCCGGGACCCAGGGCCCAGCACACTCTGGGGGAAAGGCCCAGGACCCAGGGCCCAGCCTGTAGCGATCCAAGCTCTGACTGACCTCCAGGTCCCCCCCTCAGGGAAGGCAGTCCCCAGCATGGCCCCTGTCTGCTGACACTCTAGTGCCGGGATACTCGGGTCAGCACCCGTCACCCCAAGGACCACAGAGCCCAGGGAGGCAGCACTGCTTCTATGCAGAGCACAGGGCCCTAGGATGTGCCCTTGTCCCTAACCAGAAGATCTGGGGCACGGGTGGCCTCCCTGTTCCGGCCTCCCCCTGTGACATGGGGGGCTTGGTGGGGATGCCTGGGAACTCCATCCAGGTCCTCCTGCAGGGAGCACGGTCTCACCCTGGGGCCCCACCCTCCAGGGGCTGAAAGCAAGGCGTGGGGAGTGGGAGGGGCCGCTGGGAGGACCGGAGATGGAAATCACCGGCCCAGGCCCTCACGGGCGCAGGGAGCCTCCCCTGCCAGCTCTGGTCATATAAGGCTTCCTGCAGCCTGCTCCCCAGTCCTCACCATGAAGGCTGTCCTCCTCGTTCTGGTGGCCGCTGGTTTGGCTCTGCAGCCAGGTGAGACTTTAGGCCACCACAGGGGGAGAGCCAGTAAGGGAGGCTGGAAGGGACCAGAGGGACAGACAGAGCAGGGAGGAGGCAGGGGCCGGAGGAGGACGGGCAAGGATTGGGGCCAGAGGAGGAAGGGAGCTTCTGGCTTCCTAGAACAAGGCCCCACTGCTAACCTAGCCTGTGAGAGGCAGGCTTGGAGGGCAGATGAGGCCACTGTGCCTGGCTCCCAGAGAGGCAGGCAGACGCACTGACGGACAGCCTGCCGCCAATGCCCTTGGAAGCCCAGGGCAAAAAATCACAAGGTAAGAAGCGGAGAAGGAAGGCATGAGGAAGACAGCAGGGTGTCCTAGAGGACCCCAGCGCTGGGTTGCTGCCCCGCAGGGCGGGGTGGGCGCTGCAGGGTCCTGCCCCAAGTGCTCCTGGGAGTTCACCCTCTCAGAGCCTCAGTTTCTGTTTCAGGTTAGTGGGGTTCCATGAAAACAGCCCCCAAGCCACCAGAGAATCAAACAGGGCAATGTTTGGGGTACCAGTGTGGGGCTGGGGTGTGCTCGGCACCCAGCTCGGTTGCTCTACGGGGAGACTTCGTCCAGACGCCCTAGGAGCTGGGGCCCTCAGCCCAGACAGCAGAACACGGCCCAGGGCCCACAGTGGACACCAGGGAGACCGGGTTGGGGCGGAGGGGCGGGCTGACCTTCGACCAGGACCTGTGGGTCCCCGTGCCAGGGGCACAGGGGAGTCAGGGAGGGGTCTCCATGCCACGGCACCCCCGCAGCCTCCTCTGCTCTGGGTGTGGGGGGAGCCCGAGAGCCTGCCCGGTGCCTCCTCCCTGCGCCTGCTGCCCGGTGGCTTTCGGCACACACAGGCTGGGCAGCCTCTGAGCCCCTGCCTTGCCCACAGGTGCTGCCCTGCAGTGCTACTCATGCACGGCCCAGGTGAGCAACCAGGACTGCTTGAATGTGAAGAACTGCACCCCGGGCCAGACCCAATGCTGGACATCCCGCGTGCGTGAGTGCCCAGCGCCACCTCCCCTCCCCCCCGAGCAGAGACCAGAGACCCCGGCTTCCCCCCCGAGCAGAGACCTGAGACCCCAGCTCCCCCCAGCAGAGACCTGAGACCCCGACTCCCCCCAGCAGAGACCTGAGACCCCAGCTCCCCCCAGCAGAGACCTGAGACCCCAGCTCCCCCCCAGCAGAGACCTGAGACCCCAGCTCCCCCCGAGCAGAGACCTGAGACCCCGGCTCCCCCCAGCAGAGACCTGAGACCCCAGCCCCGCCCCAGCAGAGACCAGAGACCCCGATTCCCCCCCAGTAGAGACCAGAGACCCTGTCTCCCCACCCTGGCCAGCAGGGACGTGAGACCCCAGACTTTGGTCCCTCCTTCTGTTCTTGCTCTGTCCATCTATCCACACTGACCTCAGCCTCCACCCATCCGCCCATAACCACGATCCCCACCAGACACCCAGCTGTGCTTGCTCACCCTCTGAGCACTTTTGGAGGTCTCCCACTCTCCCTGGACAGTGGGCCGGGCAGGGGGCAGGCTGGTTAGCGTGTCCCCATGTCCCGCCAGGTGCCATCGGGCTGGTGACGCTCATCAGCAAGGGCTGCACCTCCGAATGTGTGGATGATGCGGAAAACTACTACGTGGGCAAGAAGAACATCACCTGCTGCTCCACCGACCTGTGCAACACCAGCGGGGCCCACGCTCTGCAGCCGGCCACCACACTGGCGCTGCTCACCGTGCTGGGCAGCCTGCTGCTGTGGGGCACGGGCCGGCTGTAGGCTCTGGAGCCCCTGCTGCGGCCCATACGTACTGGGCGAGGAGACCAGGGCTTGCTCACACCCACCAGGCCCAGTGAGGGGGGCCTTTCCCAGTTCCTGAGGGCACCTGGTCCCAGGGGTCTGGCCTGGCTCCTTTCCCTGCCCCTCCTGAGGTCCCCTCCAGGACTTCAGCCCAGAGCCCACCAGAAGCCAGGAAGGCTGGCTTCTACAGACACGGAATGGCTGGCAGCCAGCTGCAGGCTCAGGCTGCAGCCTGACAGTCCCGGATCTGACCCGCTGTCACCTCTGCTCAGGCACCGTTGCTTCCCCGACGCCTTCCCTCCCCCCGCCCCCCGCCGCACCCGGAGCTGAGCCAGATTCCCATGGGCAGCTCTCAGAGAGGCCCAGAGAAGGCTGAGCTGAGATGGACTGAGCAGAACGGGGTCTGAGCGGGGCTGTGAGGTCCTGAAGGCCCTGGAGAGGAGGTCGGAAGGGAGGAGCAGTCTCGCGGCAGGTCCTTAATAAATGCCTGTGGGTGAGTCCACTGAGCCTCTGTCCCTACACACCCCTCCGAGCCCAGCTGCTCCTGGGCCTTGCCCGGGGCAGCGGATTGTCCTTGAGCACCTCACACAGCTCCGGACTCAGAAGAAGCGAATGTGTGGCCGTTGGCAGGAGGTAGGACGGCCCGCCTTGCTGTGCAGCCACAAGCATGCTGCCTTGATCTCTGAGTCCTGGGAGCTCCCGTCTCCTCTGCAGTGAGGCAGGGACCCATGCTCTGGGAGCTGGAAGCCTGCACTGAACGCTCAAAGGCCGCAAGGGGCCCCAGTGACTAGGCCAGCGCCCCACCCCACCCGAAGCCCAGCCTCCACTCCAGAGGCTCACAAAATGGGAGAGGTTGCGTCCTGATCTGGAGGCTAGAACCCTGGGGCAGCCCAGCTGCCAGTGGGGCAGAGGTCGTCCTGCGGAGAAGACGGCAGATGCCCACCCCGTGTGGCCTGAGGGGCCGGCCGGGAGGACACACCTTCCCCAGGCCAGCATCTGCTGGCTGTCCCCCTCCAGCTCTGTCCCAGGACCCCTGTGGGGAGCTCTGGGTCCCAGTCTCCCTCAGATCAAGGAGCCTACAAGACAGTGGGCAAGTCTAACTGGCTAGTGAGACGGGCTGGGAGAACAAAATAATGTCAGAGAAGAGGATCTGAGGCCGGGCTGAGTCCCCTGGAGTCCCAGCGGCCTCCTGGGGCAGGACTCCGTCCATAGAAGGGCCCCAGCCTCCGCCTCTCCCCAGCGGAGCGGTTCCTCCTCCCCAGAGCTGGGCATGCGCAGGACTGGTGCCCCCAGGGGCCTGCAGGCCAGAGTCGGAGCCAGAGTCACACACACGCTGAGACTTCCTCACAGTGAACTGTTATAGCCTGGGTAAGGGGAAGAGGGGAAGGCCTGACTGACAGGTGGGGGGCCTTCCTGGGCTAGGCTAGAAATTCCCTGAGATGGGCAAGCGGCAGGATTCCCAGCCGCTTGCCTGGTGGGGTGGAGCCAAGGCAGGATGGGGAGAAGCCAGTCGGAGGCAGGCTGCCAGGGCAGGCCAGCCCCGAGGACTGTGGCTGCTAGAACTGCTCTTGGCATTTGGTTGGGCAGCTCCCAGTCAGAGCATCTTCTGGCTGTGGAGCCTTGAACCCAAGCAGTGGCCCCTAGAACTTAGGCTGTCGGCCTTATTCTGCGGGCAATGCTGGGCTCTTCTGTGAGCATGACCCCCCACCTGACGTCCTGCACCCCGCCTGGTTCCCCTGGAGCTGAGGGAATCAGTGGGCTCAGGACCTAGAGGGCCCCACCTGCCCACTGGGACTGCCACGACCCACCCCAAGCTGCTCGGCCTTTGTGAGGGACAGGGAAGAGGGAGGGGAGGCCTGCCTTTACTTCCTGTGGGATCTGGTGGCCAATGAGGCTGATAGGCCCCAGGGTCCAGCAGGGAGACAGGCACCCCTCCTTCTGTAACGGTGAGGTGAGGCGCATACTAGGCTCCCCTCACAGGGAAGGCTTGTGGGAGGGAGCAGACACTGGGTGCGCCCTGGCACTGGGAGGCCCGGAAGGTGGAACAAGTGGTGTTAGCTCCCCACCCTCCTTATCTGCAGGGCCATGGCCTCCTAGACGGTGGGGCATAGAGGACAGCATTATCAGGGCAGTGCCAATGGGCTCGAAGGACGTGTCCTCAGTCCCCCATCCTGAGGACACGGTGGGTTTCTACAGGGAAGCGTGCGAGCAATGTGTGCAGAGGACAATTAGGGTCCTCGGGGTGACTCTGAGAAGCCAGGCCTGTCCAAGCTGACCCCAGGGACATTCAGATCCCACCCTGACACTCACACGTGGGGGGGCACTGCGGAAGCAAAGACCCTGCCTGGTGCAGCACAAGTTCAGCGCTGCGCAGCCCTGCATGGTGCAGGAAGAGGGCTGGCCCCCCACGGCTCCCTGGAGGGCAGTCAGGCCCACTGCAGACCCTGAACACATGGCGGCGGGAGGGGTGTTAGCCAGCGGCAGGTTCAGAACCTTCCGGAAGGCAGCAGGACTCCGGAACCCCTCCAGTCCTCGCAGGCCTAAGAGGCTGGCCTTGCGGGTCACTGGATGACGGGGCCACCAAAGACCCCTACAGGGCAGGGATGGCGGACGGTGCCAGTGAGACCTTGAGGGGGGGGGGGCAGCCTGCCGTTCTGGGCCGGCGTGCTGCAGCCCCAAGGCCTACCCCGGCCGGGGGTCACCCCCGCCCACCCCCCCGCCCCACCGCTGGGTCATTCCCACCCCTAACTTGAGTTGCTCCCGTTTCGGTTTCAAGAGGGGCAAAGGTCAGGAAAGCGTCTCTGATGTGTGAAGGGCGAGGGCTGGGGCCAAGTCCTCGGGTGGAGACCGCAGCGTGCACGGGCCGGGACCTGCGGGGTAGGGGTGCGGGGACCCCAGCAGCTGCGGCCTGCAGCCCTGGGCCCGCGCCGGCAGGGGGCGGGACCCCCGAGCCCGCTCCTGCAGCG